TAGCGCGACAACGGTTGAATTGACAGTTAGGACTAGTATTAGGAAGACTTATGAAAGAACTATAAGATGCTACAATGACGCAAATTATAACTTATTTAATAATAAATTAAACGATACGGACTGGGTAGACTTATTTGCGACTGCTAACTCTCCTGACGATATGTGTGAAATTTTTACAACGCGATACCTAGACATAGCTAGGGAATGTATACCGACTCGGACGGTGACCGTTAGACCTAATGACAAACCCTGGTTTGACTCAAATTTAAGACGTGAAATTTGGAAAAGGAATAGACTGTTGAAATTGTATAAATCAAACCGCTCCAACAACAACTTATCTAACTTTCGGAAACAACGTAATCATGTGAATAACTTGAAGAAACGAACAAAAGAATTTTTTTATGCTGATATAAATGGAATTTTAGATCGATACTCGAATTCAAATCCTAGAAATTTTTGGAAAATTGTACGTAAATTAGTTAAATCTTCAGACGAATCAAACATTATACCCCCTATTAGAAATACTCATGGCAACATTGAAATGACCGATGATGGCAAAGCTAATATTTTAAATGATTACTTTGTTTCCATTTCTACTATAGACGACATTAATATAGAATCTCCGACGGTAGAATTACGGACAGACTCGACAATATCAGATATACATTTTGAATTGAGGGACGTAATTGACATACTTAAATCTTTAAATGTGAATAAAGCTGTTGGTATAGACACAATCAGTCATAATATGTTAAAAAATACAGCAGTATCAGTAGCTTTCCCACTATCTCTCATCTTTAGATCCTCTCTGGAAACTGGGGTTTTTCCTAAAATGTGGAAACATGCATTAGTGATACCATTATTCAAAAAAGGGGACAAACACAATTTTGCTAATTACAGGCCAATTTCATTATTAAGCACTGTTGGTAAAGTTTTTGAAAGATTAGTTGTAAAATACCTTAATAACTATTTACTAGAAAATTCACTGATATACAAGTTCCAATCTGGTTTTCAACCTGGTCACTCGACAGTACATCAACTTATCGAAATTTATCATACTTTATGCGAAAATCTAGAAAAAATGCAACCTACATGTTTAGTTTTTTGCGATATATCGAAAGCGTTTGATCGTGTGTGGCACAGGGGTCTGGAAGTGAAACTAGCAAATTATGGTATTCGGGGTAAACTTTTAAATTGGCTTGTTAATTATATAAGTGAAAGAAAACAGCAAGTTTGCGTGGGTAACTCTAAATCCTCTATTAAATCTTCTAATGCGGGTGTTCCACAAGGCTCAGTACTTGGTCCCCTATTATTTATTTTATATATTAATGATTTAACCGATAATCTTCAGAGTTTCTCAAAATTATTTGCCGATGACACTTCTTTATTATACTCGAACCCATCCCCTTACAACGTTGAAACTGTAATAAATGATGATTTAGAACAAATTCAAAATTGGGCGAGAAAGTGGCTAGTAAAGTTTAATCCAACTAAAACAGAAGCATTACTTATCCATAATTCCGAATTAGACTACGCGATAGATATAAAATTTGATAATGTTAGTGTGAATTTTGTAGATAATCATAAGCATTTGGGGGTAACATTTGACCAGAATTGTAAATGGACAAGTCATATTGAGGACATTTGTAAAAAAGTATCTAAGCAGATTAGTATCTTGCGAAAACTTAAATTTATTCTAGGTAGACAAACATTGTATAGAATATATAATTCTTATATTATTCCACTATTAGAATATTGCTGTGAGGTATGGGATGGATGTACTCTCGGTGACGCAGACAAATTAGAAAAACTTCAATTAGAGGCTGCTCGTGTGATTACGGGGTTACCATCTTATACGAGCAGAGATTCCTTATATTCTGAATGTGGGTTAGAACCACTTTGCTTTAGACGCTCTAGAAGGAAATTGCAGCTTTTTTATAAAATCAAAAATAACTTAACACCTGATTATTTATCCACTCTTCTTCCCCCCTTAGTCTCAGAAAATTCACCCTATAACCTTCGAAATGCCAATAATTACTCCATACCAAACTACCGTCTACAACTCACAAAATCTTCTTTCTTTCCCTCTACTATTCATCTTTGGAATCAGTTAGACCACGATATCCGACAAAGTGAAACATATTCGGTCTTTAAACACTCTCTCCGTAAAAACACAGACATTCGAATTCCGCCCTATTTTCTTATTGGTGATAGAAAAACTAACATCCTGCATGCCAGATTACGTAACAGATCCAGTACTTTAAATAATGACTTGTTTCATGCTAACTTAATTAATTATAAACACTGTCAATGTGGACACTATATCGAAGATGCTCATCACTTCTTTTTTGTATGTAATAATTATGCCTACCAACGCCTACAACTTTATCGTGAGCTTAATGATTTCATTCCACTAGACCTCCACCTTCTATTATTTGGAAACTCCGAGCTGACTAACCAGGAAAACGAAACTATATGCCAATCCACCCAAAGATTTATTATAAATACAAACCGGTTTTAAATTATACTCTATAGTAAATTATAATCGTTCCTTCCCAACTCGGGTGACAATCGGTTGAGATATGTTATTTCCAGAAGGATCAGCATGGACCAAGGAGAAGGACATCGGTGGCACGGTTTTTGATAGACATTGACAAGTTGAACGCTAGGAAGAGTGGAATAGTATAAAGAATGTGATTGTCACCTGGGTTGGGTTAGACCATATCGCTATTGTTCCTTTTTCACTACATTTGTAGATGTACTCTCTCTCTCTCTCTCTCTTTCTCCCCCCTCTCTCTCTTTCTCCCCCCCCCCCTCTCTCTCTCTCTGTCTCTCTCTCTCTCTCTGTATATATAATTGTATCTTGTAAATTTCGAATAGGTCATCTTTTGCATTTATATGTGTCTGTTATTTATCTTGGAACGGGCTTTATATAAGTTTGTAAACTTGTGCCCAATCCATTTGTATATACAATTTATGCAATAAAATATGTTTAAATCAAAAAGGAAAGCATTTTTTATTTATGTCTGCTCAAAAGTGCGTTAATATTCACAGACTCACGTGTACAATATTGCAATGAACATCAGTATTTGTTTTTCACTCAAAATTTTGCTAGCATAGGTTTTATAATCCTCTCTCATGTGCTAATAAGTCGCATGTTAATGTGTGTATTTATAAACAAGCTTGATTTCGGACTGACCATTTTCGGATATTTATTGACTGAAGGGAAATGAAATTATCTGGACATGTTTCTGCTCTTTTACAAAGTTTTACTTTGTGAATGGTCTGTGATAAAATGAATGTTTACTGTTATGGTTAAACAGTTGAAATAAAATCTTAAAGTCTTCCAATAAGGTATTAATGTTCTTGTTGAAAAAAAACCCATTAACATGATATAAATAAAAAAAACCCCAAAAATTTAAGAATTTAATGCCAGTTTAGAAAGTAACCATTATATCAGTGATGTATCTTGGTGGCCATTTTATAAAGACTTTATATGACTGTAAAAGCAAACTTGTTTTGTTTGTTTCTTTGGGGTTTACCACTTCCTTCCCACTTGAAACAGAGGTGAAAGAAATTGCTGCTGCCGGGATTCAAACCCACCCGGCCCTCTGCACCCTTCTGGTCGTGGAGCCTATGCTCTACCAACTGAGCTAACCCTGCATCACACCACTTGAACTTTGTTTTGTTTTTAATTATTAGCAAAAATGTAAAGAGGAAAAAAACATAAACAGATTCAACATTGTGTGGTGTTTTTTTTATATATATATGAAAATATAGGTTACTGTGACCACTTTACAAGAAATAAAAATTTTCAAAGATGAACCATAAAAGCGACATTGACTGTTAAAATGGCAAAATTATCGATTTCACGGAAACAGTTGAGTAAAAATCTGAAAACCCAATAAGTGACCAGTGACGTCACAGTATACCAAAAGAGACTGAAATCGACTCGATTTAACATGGCGAGTATAGGGAAATGAAAGTACGTGACTACTTAAATGGACTGTTTTAAGTCATTCAAGGAGGAAAGGGGCTAAAAAATATATCTACATAATTTTAGGTTATTAAATTCCCTAACGACCGGTATATTTCTCTTAATTATTGCACTGCTACCACATATAAAATTAGTTTAAAAAGTGAAAAACCGTCTCAGAAATACTCGTCTGAAAAACGGATCGTAGTAATGTGGCGACTTACTGGGTCCTGGCAATATGCGTCAAATGAAAAAGACAGTTTTTACTCCTTCAATAACGGAAAGGGCTGTAATTGATAGATACAAATTTAGTATTTTGAATTCCCTATTGATTGGTATATATATTGAATAAATGCAGTGATTTGCCATGTTAACCTTATTTGAAAAGGAAAACCTCATAAATATTCGACTGAAAACGGGTATATCCCCAAATTTTTCCGCTGACTGGGGAAAACATGGCCACTAATTTCAACTGTATCATCGTCTCTTGTTTGGAAGGACGCTTGTTGAAAGTATGACCCAGACACGAAACCGTTTGCTTTTATTTTTTTCTTCAACGACACGTTAAAAGTATAATCAAGTCCGATATCATTGGGAATGACGTTCAATGCTGACGACACTTTGTTTGTCGGAGATGGTGAGAGTAGTCTCCCTTTATTTTCGGTAGGCGTGGTTATCTTTGCGTTGTCGATCGGCCAATTTGAAGCTCGTGGAAGCAAATGAAAACATTGCATTTTTCGAATTATTGTTTCTTAAAATCCAAGTACATGTATCATACTCTTATCTTGTAATGAAAGACAAAGTTTTTTTTTAAAGGACTGTCGCAAAAATGACGTGGAACGTCCGTTATTCAGGAAAAAATAAAGACCAATATGAATTATTTCGTACACAACGTCTCTGAAGGGAGATTATGGTCTGGCGCCGTCAATACCGGGCTGTGCCGAGCGGTATCTGGTCATGCCAAGGTGAAGTTAGTTTGCACTTTCGTTCTTAGAACTCGAAGGCTGAAAACGAGTTGTATCCAGAACGTTTACGGTTCATATTTAGATGTTTTATGGCTGACTCTCCAAAGGTGAGTTGTTCATGTCACTTGTTTGTTTTTTATTTTATTTTCCGTTTTTTCCTTCTTTCACTACTTCCGTTATTACTATTCTTACTAATCTTAGTTATAATAACATAGATCTAATTAGTGTATTACTATTCTTAGTTATAATAACATAGATCTAATTAGTGTAACAGCCAACATTATATACACTTGCTGTCAGCATTTTACTGAAAAAAAAACAAGTTAGTAAAAGAAATATTTTCTTTTCACAATAACGCTTTCCATTTTCATGTAGTATGTTTTTAGTTGTGGGCTCTGCCACTGGAACCATGTGTCCGTTCACCTCAATATTATCGATAATGCTTAGGTAGCAGGAAACAGTTAATTTGCATTTATTGGTCATGTATGAGATATACAGGTATAGCAGATTGGTTATGAAAAATTCCATCATTATATTTATAAACTACATAACAATTACATTAACAGTAGAGAGATGAAATTTGTGTAAATCAAAAATTTCCTCTGATTTCTGACATGTTATTGTTATGGTTACCTACTGGAAAAATGCTAAAAATGCAAAAATACTGCTAATTCCAACCTAACACTACAACTTTCTAGAAGAAATTTAATTCTAAACACCTATATTAAAATCAACAACACTGTCGTGGTAACAAAGTACTTACATTTCAGCAAATTCCAACTCGGAGATCCTTCATAATATGACCACATGTAAACACTTTGAAAATTTCACTTCCTGTTAAGCTAGTTTTTGGTGCGTAGACACAGACTCAAGACTGCCCAAATAGTTATCTCCAACACAAAGCTAAAATATTATTCTGAAAAAAAATGAAACCCCACATTGTCCACTTTAACATGACAAGACCAATTGTGGCCACACCGAGAAACTGTGTACTGCTACCTGATGTGTACAAACTTGGCTTCATTTAATATTTTTAATGTGCATAGCTGTACATTCTATCAGGATATAACACAATTCTAATTATAGATCTCTGTTTATGTCTTAATTTCTTATTTCATTTTGTTTCTGAATGCTTGACTGCTTCACCTCGACCAATAGATAACATCTCGGTCTTTTTATCAATACGTGGAATACTGAAAGCACTTCATTTACAGCTGTTATAAAGAACAGCTGATAGATTACTAACATGCTTGTAAACTTGAAAGCCACCTTGAATTGTCAAAGAGTGTTTTACCATAGTTCAGTATATAATTTTAAACATCTGTTGTGCAATCAATATTACGTAATGCTATCCGATGTATTTTTTATCTTCTATAGTTATTCACTTCATTTCTCTTACTCGGGAGTGGATTATATGACTCCCGTTTTAGATTGTTACTTTTATACACTGTTCATCTGATATGAAATGAATCTGAAAATAATATCAATCAAAAGAAGATTTATTTTGATCTGGTACATGACTGAACACCTACCTATCACACTTTGGCCCGGACTGACTCAGTACAAGTGGATCTCTAACTTTGAAGCTAGTGACAAAGTGAATGATGCGCAGACCAAGCACATGTGACAGGAAAAGATACATAGAAACAGTACCGACTGATACTTGAGAAACGTGAACTGCTGGTAGTCACGGATCAGTTATTCGTTGCTACATGTGCATTGAAGTTTTAATCCAAAATTGTGTCACTGAATGATGTTATTTTCTCCGATGGATACATTCATTTTAAACCATAACCAACACACCTTGATTTCGACTAAAAGATTAAATTTTAGCAGAACTGGACTGGGTCGAATAGTTAGTCCGTCTAGAGTTTGGATGATCCTGAATTCGAACCCCGGTCCGTCCATACATCTTTCTGCTCCTACATATCACAAACTCTTCAAAACGCGCCGATATCTGTATCTGCTTTCCATACTCTTCCTTATTTTGTGTCCTAATATTTGCCACATATTACACCTAGTTACATTGTAGCAATATATATTTACCGCATATTTGATTGATGTGCATGTACATTGTAACAACTGAAATTTGCCACATATTTGACCCCATTACATTGAAACGCCTGATATTTGTTACATATTTGATCCATGTACATGTACATAGTAACACCTGAAATATGCCACATATCTGACCCCATGACATTGTAACGCCTGATATTCGCCACATATTTGATCCACGTACATGTACATTGTAACAACTGAAATTTGCCACATATTTGACCCCATTACATTGTAACGCCTGATATTTGCCACATATTTGATCCACGTATATGTACATTGTAACGCCTGATATTTGCCACATATTTGATCCACGTACATGTACATTGTAACGCCTGATATTTGCCACATATTTGATCCACGTACATGTACATTGTAACGCCTGATAATTGCCACATATTTGACCCCATTACATTGTAACGCCTGATATATGCCACATATTTGATCCACGTACATGTACATTGTAACGCCTGATATGTACATTGTAACGCCTAATATATGCCACATATTTGATCCACGTACATGTACATTGTAACAACTGAAATTTGCCACATATTTGACCCCATTACATTGTAATGCCTGATATTTGCCACATATTTGATCCACGTACATGTACATTGTAACGCCTGATATTTGCCACATATTTGATCCACGTACATGTACATTGTAACGCCTGAGATTTGCCACATATTTGATCCACATACATGTAGATTGTAACAACTGAAATTTGCCACATATTTGACCCCATTACATTGTAACGCCTGATATATGCCACATATTTGATCCACGTACATGTACATTGTAACGCCTGATATGTACATTGTAACGCCTAATATTTGCCACATATTTTGTCCCATTTCATTTTAACGATATAAGGATATATCGATGTCATTAATTATCAAATATCACTTTTGTCATTCATATAATCTCCGAAATAAAAAAAATAACGTGGAAATGAACCTTTTCCAAACATTTAACGTATTGACACGGTATGATTAAGATCACATGCCCTTTGATAAAGAATACTTGATTAACTGTATCGTAAAAGACTAGTATGCATAAGTAGCCTATCCATAAGTGAGCTAGCTATCGATATGTCAGACAATACAGAGACCGACAGATAATCTACAATCACTACTTTAAAGCATTAAAGACAACTCTATGTATTCCTTTTAAATCATAAGTGTGCTCACCAATTAAAGGATGATTATTACATCATATATCATCTGTATGCTGCAGTTTAATTACTTTTTTGTCTCTTCTGTATTTCACTCTAATTTCGTATTGAAAGATGCTAATCACTTGTGTGTCTTTTTTTTTTAATAATAATTAACTTGTGTTGTTTATTTTATAGATATTGCGATCCTTTGAAGATGTCCGATATGCTAAATATTGTCGCTCTGCCTGTCGTCCTGGTTTATATCACTGCGGTAGTGATGTGGTTCTCTCCAGACCGGGTTTTCTTGCTAAACACAAAGCTAAGAGCATTGCAGGCACACGTGTTATCGGACGTCAAGAAAAATTGGACAGCGTTCTTTATAACTTTAGGGCTATGCTTTTGGATGACAGCGTTACAGATTGACTCCAACAACACGAAAAACACATTGATGAACATTGAAACTAAAGTCGTTGCCATAGAGGAATACTTGGAGTCAAATAGAAGGGACATGAAAGCAATGGAGAGACACTTTGAAACATTACTCGAGACGGAATTACATATTCTGAGGTCTGAATGCAGGAACAATTTGCAGGACAAGATACAGAAACTGAACAATAAGATATTGCTAAAACTGAGAGACACAGATGCAGCCGTAGGTGATTTGGTTCTACGAGTATTAGAAATTGAATGGGAAGTTAGAAAGAACCGTGATATATTTCGAAGTATAAAGGATTATTTCAAAGAGGATGGTGACAAAACTTATCAGTTGGAGAAAGATGTTGATAGACTTTACCAACTGTATAACCAGTTCGTGAAGGAAAGAGATGAAACACGATTCCACGAAAGAAAAGGAAATGAATATCAACGGAATGTGGTCCGAAATAATGATGGAAAAAATGTGATAGTGACAATTATTGACACAGCCCTTAATATTTTGGTTGGGGGAATTGGTAAATCTCTAGCCGGCATGGCATTGAAAGCAGTGTCTTGGGCAGGATCCTGGATAGGCATAACGTAAGAAGTAAACCATACATTCAATGCAAACGTTTTATTGATCTCTGACGTATTTGAAGTATTTACATGAAGATGTTCTGTTATGGGACACAGAAATTGTACAAAAGACACACAAGTCAATACCGCCTTTAAAGCAAGTTTATAGTTAGAAGCAGTAAAATTGAACAATAAGTTAAACTGTAAATTTTAATTTTTGAAGTAAATTCAGAAAGAAATTCTGTTGAATTACCGCATGTGCTAAAATACAGATGTTTTCCATCTATGCAGAATACAACAAAAAAAATTTTTATATATCAAATTCAAATATCGATGAAAATCAATACAAATCAAAATCCCGGATTACGTCGTTTAAATATTTCTCGCCAAACCAAATAATGACTTCAACAAGTTCAGATCCAAGAACAGTCGTAATAATAGTCTTCATGTCATCATCAATAGCAATTGTATGAATTAATTTAGTCTCAAATTTAACTTCGTTATTGATATAAAAGTGTAAACTCTAGCATTTTTTTCATTAATTGCATTAATTTATTCTTTCGTTTGTTTGAAATGAAGGTAGTTTGTCACATCGATGCGATTTTCAGAACAGAATAAACAAGTAAATTATAAATGGAAGTCGATCCTGTCAGTAAGTGATGACATTTTATTTGTAACGGGCTGTCCAATCGACGTCTACTGTAGCAGACGAAGTTGACAAACTTGTTATCTAATATGTATGGCGATAATAATGCTTTTGTGGCAAAATTTCATGTTTGAGAATAAATTTATTCTGACATAAAGTGATAGCTTTGTAAAGTTATTTAATTTTTGTGAGTGTCTCAAGTCCAACAATTGCTGATATGTCAGTGCACAGAATATGTGATGATGTTTATAGCTATAGTTTAGACCTAGATTTTCCAAGGTGGCTGTTGATATTTTTCAAACAAGTCATGATATATATATATATATATATATATATATATATATATATATTTAGTTTCAATAATTATATATATGATGTATTCTTCATTGTTACAACTGATTAAGTTCTGTGCTAATTATCTTTCAATCTGTAAAGTATTTCATTAGTATATGTCTGGTTATCGATATTGATTTACTTAATTCAAGGGAAACTATTTATTTATCTGTAGATTTATCGAAGTAGGCAATATATTCCTATCATTTCACAAAGAAGATAAGTGTGTTTATGCATATTTTTAAATCATTTCTTGAAATTCATGTCAGATTTATTGTATTCACCAATGTATTTTAACTCCAACCTAATAAAGTTTTAGGTTAGCCTTTGGGTAGAAATCTAATAAATCCGGTAGTCACAAGCACAAGCACAAGCAATTCCATTGCGGTTTACTCTCATTCTCTACATCAGCTAAAACTAATTATTAAAAAAAACTTTATAAAATACAATCCCCCCCCCCCCCCAAAAAAAAAAAAAAAAAAATGAAAAATATTTTAATTCAGAATCGGAATATTCTAATCAAAAGGCAGTGTTATATAAAATTGCTACCCACGGATATATACTACTCATTGCGGTTATGTATTCAAAGGAGCAGGAAAATTCAGGATAAGAGTATTTCAAAACGTCAATATGAATAAGTAGTAGTAGGCATGTGAGTCATCATGTACACATTTCTCTTTCGTAAACCTTGTTAGTGATGTTTTTTTAGTTTGAATCGTAAAAGTATAGTACGTGAATCAAATCTTGCTATCTTTCCCCAAATGTGAACGTAACTGGTCTGTCAAGCGTCTGAATGATTTGGAATTTAAGTCCTAAGTCATCTGTTGGGGTAGTGATCTTGAACTTATAGAGAAGCTTCGCCATCATTACGTACATATCTTGTTCTGCTATCCGTCGACCTGTACAAAATGAAATGTCAATAAAAGTGTGTCTGCAAAAAAAGATTTGTATTTGAACTATGGATCCCTAATCATTCTTTGTCGTTAAATTCTTCAATATGGTGGTATGGGACACAACGATCTATTGCTTCACCAATCTACAATTTATCAATAAATAATACACTTGAATTATATAGTAAAAAAATTAGGTAAACTCTGCTACCCTTCGTTGACATTTGTAGGTTATACGTTATCTCCATCGAAGATTGTACGAAAATGCCCCCCCCCCTCCTTTTTTTTTGTTTTTAGGTGCTACCCATTATGTTGTCATGTAACTGTAAATGAAAGTCAGGTGTACGTTACCTATGCACATCCTCGGGCCGTGACTGAAGGGAATCACGATAAAAGGATGGTGGTTTCTAAAATGACTGCTCCCCCGTAACCAACGTTCTGGCCGGAACTCTGTAGGCTCGTCAAAGTATTGTGGAGACATCTGGTGTACGAAGGAACACATCTCTATGACGGTCTATTTGGAATAGAAAGAATCCATAATTTTGTGACACAATCATTTAGCAGACAACGTAAGCAACATATAACTTGTTTTAACATGGGTTGATAAGATAATGAGGATGTGACATTACAATTAATTAGGAGGTTATAAACTCATCATGAGGTAGCAGTGGCAACAAAATCAGGAGGTGACCATAAACATGAAGGGTATTGAGCGACATCATGAGGCGGTGAAAAAATGAAGTGATATAATGGTGTAGAAGTGACAATATAACAAGGAGAGGACAACGTAATGTAATAGCAACATCATCAAATGGTAATAATAAAAAGAGATGAGATGTCATAATGAAACCAACAACATATCTTCCCTCGGTTTGTTACAATAGATATTCACGACACAGTGTATAATACATCTGATGTAAACACATACACTCTATGTATGATCCATATTTAATACTTTTATATAAAAATACGCGAAAATTACGGCTGCATGGTACGTCCAACGTACGCATTCAATGTAATATCATGAAAGAAAAGCTTAAAGAAAGCTATTCAAAAAGGAAGACCATTTAAGATATATCGACTGAGGTAATATCCAGTCTTTATCAATGTCGGTTGTGTATGGTCAGTGAACAAAACAGTGAAAGAGGACATTCAGTTCGATAGGATTAGTTCACCATAAGGCACACATGTAAACAAAGTAAACAGTCTCACCCCAGCTGGTATCTGAAATCCTCCTACCGCAATGTTCTTCTGCAATATCCTCTTAACGTCCAGGTTTAAAGGGTACAGTCTTTCAAAGAGAAAACAATAGGACTTCAGCCGTGCATGTATGAATGCTTTGACGTAGCCTTTTTAAGGCTTGGATGAGTAAAATCTGTAATCTAATAAACATCTACCAATCTTACTAACTGTAATTCATAATAACCATGATAAATGAATAAATAAATCTGTGCTGGTAAAACGGGAAGCGCAGTAAGGTCATTTACCATCTTAAAAAAGGCGATGTATCAAAAGAAGGCAAGTTTGACTTACATACTGACATGGAAGTACATTAAAAGAAAAAGTTTGTGCAGGCCCTTTATCCTACACTTCAAGTCACTGATGCTTTATACTTTGGTGAATAAGTCAACTTTGTGAGGTGGTATTTCGGTAGGGAACTTCGACTCGCTGAATTGCCCTATTGTATTGTTAAACCAAAACAGTGACAAAAGCAAAATTTTTTTTTTTTGTGTTTAAATAGAATCTGATATGTAATTTAAGGTTATATATATATACACACACATATGCAAATAACACCAAAAGAAACAATAACAATATAGATAAATAACTTGTCAACCGGAGGTCAAGATTTACGAATATTATTTTCACATATTACATTACACTTAGCAATTCATATGAAAATGAAATGTTAATGACATTAAAGAGTTAATGAAAAGTAAACCGGAGCCTTGCAAATAACATTAATATCATGATCAATAAACAGTTTAACACATACTATAGATATATACCTGAAAGATTCCTTAAAGCAGGCCTTCAGATATGACAATTTGTTTAAAACGTCGATAGTTATGTAGCCATCTTCTGGAATGTGCTGCTTTATCTCTTCAAACGCCTTGTCTTGAACTTGTGAATTTTTCGCCAGACAGTACATCGTCAACAGAAGTGCAGGAACTGTCTATCATGGACAAAACAATCACATATGACAAGGGTTCAGCAATATATGACTGTTGAATTGATATGTTTCGAAGTTTTGTAACCGCCGATTAAACTATGATAAAATCAAGTATGAAAAGATACTCGAATCGAATGAATAAACGACCACTACGAATGTAAGAAACTCATAAATATACATCAGAAATCAATTTTTAAAAAAGTAGTTATTTACTTTTAAACCATCAAGTTTTGGTGAACTATTAAAAGTTAATATGTAAGATTAAATCATTCAAAATTGTGCTAGACAGATCAGAATGTATCTGCCTTTGTTAATTTATTAATGACATCTACTGTGAACAATTATATATTGACCAGAGGTCAGAGGCATTCTGTCGTTGTTGATCTACTACACATGTTCATGTAAGAATTCATTCCCTGATTATATAAGTCATTACCTGAAGCATATCTGAGCAGTTTGTATGAAGGTCAGTGTAACCTTACCTTGTTGTAAACAGCCGAATCTATTGCAATTTATGTGTGTAAGACCATGTCCATAACTCAAATATTACTTATCTTAGGTTACCTGTTTGCTAATGTGTAATAGTACGTAATCACTTTATTAATATGGCTAGTATAAATACGACCACTTTTCTAACCAGTTTGTATCGGTTCCTGAAGGCATGACAGTGTTCCATCTATCCATAGCCCACATCTCAATAAACCTTCAACACCCAAACGGCGTTTGAACTTCTTCATCTCCACTCATCACAACAAGAAACAGAGTATCATTTTATTGATACTACATCTTATTAATAAACTACGTAACAGGTGTTTAACCAACTAATCCATTTAAGACAAACGTTTTATCATCCGCATCAAATACATCAAATAAAGCTGTCAACATGAAGTCGTTTATGATGCAAATAAGGGAAAGCACGCAAAACATACACAGAACACTTACCGCATTTAGTCCGTCCGCGAATACTGTGAGGGCAGTGATGCTGATATCTTTATTGTTCAGATTGGTGTTAGAGAGCAGATAGGAAAGAAACGTAAATTTCCCTTCTTCCAGCTCTTTTTTGTCAACAAGTGATTTGATATGTGCCACCGTTGTGTTAATGAGATTCCGACCATCACTTTGAAATTAAAAATAAAGCAAATAGAAAGGGTGGAAAACTAAAGAATTATAGATAAAGTTGTACAGTTGCTTAGTTGAGAAAATTAATGCCAGGGTGATTTATAAATGAAAACAGACGTCTTCATTGAATTAGCTGATCATTGTGTGTGTTTAACTATTTATATCAATCGATTTTTAATTATTACTATTTCAATATTACACAAAATATTTCACAAAAGCCACTAATCCAGATTAGATAACATACAGTAGATGTAAATAACGAGATCGATACCGTGCAGCTGCTTCGTCCTTCTAGGACCCGTTATTGATGCAGGAAGTATGAAATGTTGAAACATTTGACACGACCGAGGCGGATATTCTTAATTGTTTGAAATAAATGTCAAAATATTCATAAGGAAGAGCTTTAATTCCCACAGTGAATAAATTTAACCATTTTCAATAAGGTATGAGAAGGACCAATCGCAAAACTAGCAAACGTTTTACAGAGTTGGACATTATATTAAAAAATTGTTTTCATGACTAGTTGTCAAACAACAAGACTGCCATACCTGTAAAAATAGTCTTCAGCTGCGTAATGACGTTTTGATAGCCTTCTGTATGTTATGAAGTCCCAAGGAAGTACAAACATCAGTTTTGTGGATAATTCAAAGATATCATAATTCGCTTGGATCATTCTTTGCGAATGAGAATCGAATCCCTCTTTTAGTGCACCTAGTCTCTTTTCAAAACAAATCAGAGCAGCAGCTGTAGAGAGGGAACGTTAATTAATGCTAAATTCACTTAAGGTAATAAGGAAAAATTGAATAAAACATCGAACCTATTACAATAGTGTGTTTTACAAAATGCCCTAACAGGATGCTACATATTAAAGTACAGAAAACAAAAATGATATGAGTTTTTGGTGTTTCCGCTATTTCACGAGTTCTACACTTAATCATATAAATGAGGTCATCGGTTAAGATAAAATGGCCAAAAGTCACATTTGACAACTTTTCCAAATTCAAATTATCCATATATTCATTGAAGCGGGACATTAATGTTTTCAATTTAAACTTTAAAACAGTGAATTCCCAAATGCATCTTAATTTAATATTGATGTTACGTACTTTTATATTGGTACGCATGTTTTAAAGACCCTTTGGTTTACATATGTTTACATTTACAACTATGTTTAACTTTTTAACTTTTTATGAGCACAAATAAGTTTCCGAAATGCACTTATACAATTAGCATACATGTTCAATGACAATAGTGAATACTTTTCAATTCCATTATCAGAAACATCACCCTTTAATAGTCAGTACTTGATAAAACATTCCGATCTCCGTGCTTTTGTGCGATATCTGTTATAGAATATGCCGTTAGATATGTCGCCGAAGAAAGACTTACTTTCCAAATTCCACCTTCCAGCCAAATAGTTAAATTGTGTGATATTTCCATCTGTATCTTTTCTAATACATATTTCGTCTATGACATCATCAGCTACCTCATTCACAAACGGCAGGAAATGAGCTACCTGCTTGGGTCGCATCATCACTGTCTGAATGGCCTTTCGCATAGTCTTCCATTCTTTGCCGTTTCTATAAAATATTTCCAATACGTGTTAGTCATAAAGATGAATGTTATAATATCACGCAGTGATTATTGTATTAGTTACGATGATTGGAAATATAGTGAATGTAAACAAAATAAATTTGTTCTTGAATGCTAACAATCAATCCATTGATAGATTCCTTTATACGAAAGATTTGACCCAACCAGTGATTCGGCTAACGAATATGAATATATATTCACAAGCTGATAGAAAATGTTACTTGTGAATACAACATAGTAGACATGTACTTCAAAATTATTGAAAATGTGTTCATTTGGTTCCACTAACCTGTACAAAATCTTTAATTAATAGTCTCCGCTAACGTTGTTTATTTTGCATTTATATGCGTCTCAATTTAAACATGGACGGTATACTTTGTGTTAAACTCACATATTGCCCAATCCAGGGGACATGTCTTTAGATTCACGATATTTCCGGGAACTTTCCAGAATAGGAACAATATTTGGCCACACCCCTTCGTGTTGGTAAACAGTATGGATATGATCCGGATCAAACAGTCGAACAGCCGTACGGTTCCCTATGGTCTCCTTGACAACAGATCCGTATTGTTTCCATCTGGATTCCAAGGCTGCTTGGTATTTATCTATGTCATACTTTTTGAAAGGACCTTTCAACAATAAAACATACGTCATGACAGTTTACTGACAACATCGGCTTATTTTACATAGAACATTTGCAAGCTCAAAACGTAAATTATATAAATACTTCACACTTTCATGGTAAAAAATAAGAAAGGAAAGAGAACTGCTTATGAAGTGTAGTACACATTACACTTGTTTTACCATTTACAAGTTCATGGTGATCGAAGTCAGATATGCAAATGCTGGATAAATTGGGGAGTAATGAATTGCACAATGACTGCACAAAGACACAAATTACACAGCCTCATTTCTAAGATGCTGCGTCACTCTTGAAGTCATTATTGATGTTTAGGCAAAAAGCAAGGATACAATGTAGGAAAATCTCATTGGGTCAACATAAATGTCAAAATAGATGAAAATATACCGCTAACCCCCAGTTAATAATTGCCAATATCGGATGGCTTTCAAAGTTGATAAGGTATTATATAATTGACTTTTGTATGGTTACAGTGATAAATTGTGTTGACAAGTTCGAGACGTCACGATTTCTATGTGGTAAAACACTAAGTTGATTTTGGTACAGTAAATATGGTCACAATTGTATCTTAATTTTCCATGTCACCGTATCCGTGATCTTTTCAGTCGTTGTACACTAACATTAATCAAATTCTTGAAATGTTACAATATCACTTTTGCATAAGATAAAAACAAAATATAAGAAAATGTAAAAGATTCCATAGCGTAAAAGGAAAAGTGATGGAAATTCTTAAAAACCGTTTGAACGATCAGCTTGGTTGCCACATGTCTACAAATAGTATTGATAAAGATAACTATCATATACACATATTAACATTGGGATGAAACGATATTCTAAAGGACACATACAAATATTAACTAAGAAATGCGTCGAACGATCTACCTGTGTATTGCATGAGAGTTCCCACGAACGGCCATCCTTTCGGTCCGGGTATGTCACTGAATGGTTTAGCACTTTCATAGTCCGCCGTGTAGCCACTGTCCACTACTGCAGGGCTGTCCAGTGAGGTTATATATGTACTCCGATTCTTTACAAATACTGCCCAACGATGACCTATGCATTTCCTTACAAGAATGATACCACATACCGATTTTCTTTTGAAGTACGTCATATCAATGTCTACCGTAATAGATTACTCATCACAACAGAATGAAATCTAGTTTCCAATCGTAAACAAACCGTCACTGTTACTCTCGGGTTCTTCCTAAAATGTTGCCCTTCTGGGTTAAAAATAGAACAGTTAACTGACCATTGCTGGTCGAACATAATAAACAAGGTTTGACCCTTCGGATTAAAGTCCGTTTGTCAATAGTCTAGACTGTTATGTTGTTCATTTCCATACACAGACGTATTGAGGAGTGGTATTAAAACTCCTTGTTAACGCATATGAAATATTTCAATTAACTTCCTGCACCAGATCAAACAAATATAATATCAAATTTCTACTTCAACGTTGTGTATGAATAGAGTAAAAAAAAATTCACGTGATCAGAGACATTCTAAACACCAACATATATATAGAATTTTATCCGCATGTGAAGTAAAATTTTACATCTCGTCTTCTGTTTCTTCCTGGAAACGACTTCAAATGTTTTCGTCTTTGTTTCATTACCTCTTACCTGGTCCTAATTATTTTATGTTGAAATCTTGTTTACCTTTGGCTTGTTTTAGACCATATACCTCTCGTATATACAGGATAAAGAATCTGTTTGAATGAATATGAATTTGATAGGATATTTGATCTTTTTTTTCTAATTCATCGATTGTTTGAAGAAATTGCAACGAATCAAATTTCATTCTGAGCAAGAGAAAAATGAAAATATGTTTACCTCTCCATTAAACTTAGTTTCCTTAATTAGCTAAAAAGTATTATTTACGTGTTTTAACCTTCAACTTTAACTTTCATAAAACGTTGTTTTGTACCTGATTTACATAATCGAAACAAAGTATTGAATAATACACTTACTTATTAACGAGGTACTTCCATTCCGCTTGATGAATTCAGTATGATAATACCGTACAATAGATGTATAAATACTAGCACAAATATCAGCCAATATTCCGCATGACTTAATACAAGCAAATTCCGAACATATCGGTCGTCTATTCTGTCCTTGTTATTGTCATAACCTTTCTATTTTTCAAACTGTCACGCATTTCTGGATACCAATAGGACAAGCAACCACATGTTTCTGAACATATGTCTCCGTCTCCTTTATTACAAAGATATACTGCCACAAACATCCGTCTAAGTATTAGCCTATATTTCGTTTGGTGAAAGATTAAGATTAAGTACAAAATTCTGCTCCGGAGCATTGACAAAGCTCGACAAAGTCACACATTTCTCAAGGGCGAATACCAACAAAAAAGTGAAAGCCTTTTCTAAGGACTGGTACAATTTGTAAGAAGGAAACACGTGCCTGTATGACTTGATGACTAATCTGAAATAATTTTGAGAAAATGAAACATTTCATAATGGATTGTATCCTAAGAATTGCATTTCATCATTATATGTTGTATCAGAGAACACTTATATTTTCTGAACACATGGTGCTTTGTTACATGTAATTTTTTAAAAAGTTTTAAGTGAATAATTTTGTTATCAATTTACATGCCGGTCTGTCCGTTGTGTTCACTTGAAATCAAGGATTTATTTACATATCGCATACTTGTTTAATTAAAAGTTATCATAAAATGTTACAAATGAAAAATACCAAAGTTGACAGTAACGTTCGATATCTATTACATGAAGTTATGTTGATATTGCCGAACCTTTTTCTCGTTTTAAACAAAAATATAACAGATAAACATAATCACTCAAATTGAAAAATAAAGATAACACATGTGCAATGTTTTTGCATGTAAATGAGAATGTAAACGGTTCCTGCAGTAAATACTTAAACTGACGTTCCCTGGTTAATCAATCGCATTACTCCGTCAAATTTAATTGTTTTGACTCGCGTATAACCATCAGTTCAACAATTTCCCAAACTTCCTCTCCACATAAGGCATCAACCGTTAGTTTTATTTCCAATTTTTCTCCTTTCATGATATGAAATTAGCTTCCAAACAATTTAGTTCAGATACCATATGCAGAGCTGAATAAGAAATGCCATTTGGTGTACCAATGATATCCGCTGTAGAACACGGCAAAACATTTACATTAGTTGCCACAACAGTACTTGTGTCAGATTATATAAGACTTTCGATGTTCGACTTTATAATCGAAAGTACAGTCGTACTCAAAGGATTGTTCAGTTTGGAATACCAATCGAATCCCAAATAAAAATTTCCCCGCTGCCTTCGAGGACATCATCAATGTGACTCTTGACGAGTCTCTGACAAACAAATAATCCGGGAGAAGAGTCCGTAGACTGCAACCTGTGCCAATGGAAAGGTTGCATAAGAACAAGTCTGCTCTCATCATGAATCCCTGTGTAATCTTGGTACAGAAATGACGCCATATGCATCTGTGTCCCATCGTCAAACTGCCACTGCGATACTGATGTGTTATAATTACTCTGAATAAAATACTGGTTTTCGCCTTGAACTGAAATAGAAAATTACTATGCACTGAAACAAACAAATACTAAGTGATGAAATGGACATTGCCAGAGCCGAAATAAACCGTTACCAATATTTTATGTGTTATCACTGGTACAGTTTAACCTCTGATGTATGTCAAGCGTGCATTTTGTATTTTTTTTACGCGTTTTGATTATTAATAGCAATATACTACTCACTGAAGTACGCAATTAACACGCATGAAATAACAATATAATCTCTACAGTATCGTTTGGTTCATTTGGATTATCAAATATATGCAAGATCCTTATCGTTTGTTGTAATCAAGAATTATTGTCAATAATAGATATGTCTGCCTATGATATAAAATCCTTGCCTAAAACGTATGCTTATTTATTAAGATCTGTACAACTCTATGCGACCTCACCAAGGAATCCAATCAAAAATACCCATTCCTCCATACGATCGAGCCTTATAAGGTAAGCACGGTCCTCCAAACACCTAGATTTCGAGGCATGGTATTCGATGGAAATATTGTAAACTTTGAAACAGAAATTCAGCATCGGTTCGTATATATATCCGTCATCGGCGTCACACGTACCTGTACAGAAACACGTAAATCAAATCAGATATTATGTTTAAAGGTATGGCTATGGAAAGGTATATATAAAAGTTATAGAATATAGTGTTTGAAATATTCTACAAACGACACAGTATAGAATGCCACCTTTCAATACCAGTTTATAATACAATAACGCTTAGTACAATTTAAGGTGAATCATCACATTTTACACTCATGTCAGATGATAGCAAATGCGATGTAATCATATACATGTAATGTATTGATGAAAATCAGACTAGTGGTTTCTTAGAAGAAGCTGAAAAAGTTGAGTGCGTGATACTTATTGCACCCTTTGAGGTACGCGACATGTAATTAATGGTAATCATTGTTATCATGCCACATTGTATTTTGGAATAGATTAGTGAAGGATTTTGGGTGCTATTGATATCTCATACAAACATATACCATTTATAAATTTGGTTATAATGACAGATAATGATTTGACTCATCCCAAAAGTTGTCATTTTTGCTTCAATAATCATTTTGAAAGCATTTTACCTGTAACAATGTTCATGTGAACCCCTCTTCCAACTCTTAGCGCACACAGAATATGATGTGTTGTCAAGCATACTGGCTAACATATATCTCCTCCCAATAAAAAAAATTTCAGAGTGGCTGTAGAATGGCCAAACTCCGCCCCTCCCCATTAACTATGACTTTTATCTAAATTATCAATACTAAGTAGCAAAATTTCATTGTCTTTATTTAAATGATATTCTCATTTAATTATTTTCTGAAAAAAAAGTTCAAATAATTCCTTTCAAAGTTTGAGTACATGCTTTTTAATTCTGCATACTAAAAATTATGACTACTACAATTATACATACAAATGTTGCGAACTTTTTAAATGTTCTGACTGACTAAGATATGATCATTAAAATATTTTTGATAAATATTACAGTTCGCATGTAAATGTTACTATCGTGATCTTTCCTTGGCAATCAATAACACAAAGCATTACAGATATTAACATGTGTACAGAAAATAACAGCACATACGAAGTTTATGTGCTATCGGAAATGAAACATAAAGACATTTGAGCAAATAATGACAACTTAGAAATAGTCTTAGTGGAAAAATAGATACTTTTAACAAAGTTATCACTAAAATATCACAAGCTGATATGTATCTCGCCATTTTATAGTCTTATTGGAAGAACATAGATACTTTTATCGATGTTATCACTAAAATATAACAAGCTGATATGTATTTCATCATTTTGGCTGAAAATTTTACATATTGTTTCTCATCCCAGATGACCAATTTTAATACAACATAAATACACCTTCGTTTTGTCCTAAAAGCCGAAATGCAATTAATGAACATAAGCTATTCAACAAACTATATATGTTCTACGGAATACTTGATACACACCATGCATCATGTTGTAACATTTGGCTCCATTTCTATGGTGTCCAGTCGCCAATGGGGATACCACAATCTTGTGAAGCCAGCACAGTTGTTCCGTTTTGGAATATGAGAAGGACAAACACTGATCGTTTGTACTGCACCGAGCCATGCATTTTATAGCAGAAGCTGAGGTGAAGTTTTCTAATGGTTTATCACAAAGTGCCTCGTTTATCACAGGATCGGCATGAAACGTTTGCACAGAACTAGCCATCATTCTATCGCCTCTAGCAATATTCAAAAGTACAAACAGGTCAAAAACTGTTGTGCACAAAGTTCGAATTGGAATAATTGTGTCCTTTTGGGTTCTTATACTTGCTGGAGCTTTACAGTAAACAGGCATCATTGTTCCTCCGGAATGACTTCTAATACAGTATGTTTTGTCTCTCTGCGGGCTTTGCTCATTTTTACAGTAATAAGATTTAGAAGCATTCAAGCATACGAACAGTAATGTATTCGATTTCCGTATATAAAGAGCGCTGACAAACTTTTATCTGTCAATTTGACGTGGTGGTAAAAGCAACATTAAATACCAGTAAGTGGAGCACTGAAAGGTGGTAATATTACAACGCTTTGGATATTGTGCCGATCAATTATTGATGTGATCGGAAACGATGACGGCATTTCAAAGCCTCCTTGAAAGATTTCCTCTTTAGTGGGTACCGCTGTCGTATGACATGTCAGGACTTACAATTTCACGGGGATAAATGTACACATACTTAAGTATGTAATTCATGCTTTAATTATGTAATTCATGCTGTGGTGGTTTGTTCTAACAAAGTGGAATATTATCAGAGCACGGAAACAAAATCTCGAGTGACTATTTCATATTGTAATTCAATCCATTTACTATTTATTTTTGCATGCCATTTGTGAATAAACATTGTAAAATATCAGAGTGGTATACTAGAACACATAACGGAAAGCTTCCTTTCAATTCGATTTAAGTCAGATACAGTAGAGCCGCATATAAATGATAAATCAAACTGCATCGCACAGGTGCTTCGTCCTTCAAAAACTTGTCAGTCATGCGGAAGGTAAAAAAATATAGGAGGCAACTGATAAAAACAGTAAGTCTAAACAAAGGTCAAATTCCAGACGAGATATGTATTTAAGGATATTTGGGGCCAAAATGATTTGAACAGTGTTTGTCTTTTTGTTACAAGCGTGTCTTCACAGTGATTATAAATGCGATTATTACATGTATTAGTAGATTCATGGTAAATGGTCATTCTTAACTGTTTGAATTTGTCCTTAGTAACAAGCTTCTGAGTGACTGTGTAAGGATGTTGAGAAGTTGATACGATGCGTAACTAGTATGGATACATGAATATTGTTAACATTTGCTTAAGAATTGGCTTTGTTTATTTCTTCGCGATTTAAATAATGTGCTTGTCTTTTTTTTTTTTTTTTTTTTTAGAAATCCATGCGAGTGAAGTATTGAATTTAAATTGTACTAAGAGAAATACTAAATCTAAAATTACATAGGTATAAAGTAAAATCAAACCCGTCGTCCATTGGATTGGTTTTCTTTCCGCATACCTTAGGAATATATGCCGTCGATACCGGGAGAGGGAGAGGAGTGTGTCGCTCCATTGCGTACTTTCGCGTTCTCGCATAGGTTCTGCATACTCGGGTATAAGTTAGCAGAACACAGTTTCTCGCTGTGGCCTTGGGGTGATTTCTTTGTCCATTAGATTACCCCATTATTAAGGTTTTAATTAAGATTAAAAAAAAATCTAAAATTGGTCTTGTCACGTTAGAGTGGACAATGTGGGGTTTCATTTTTTTCAGAATAACATTTTAGCTTTGTGTTGGAAATTACTATTTGAGCAGTCTCGAATCTGTGTCTATGCACCAAAAACTAGCTTTACAGGAAGTGAAATTTTCATAGTGTTTACATGTGGTCATGTTATGAGGGATTTCTGAGTTGGAATTTGCTGAAATGTAAGTACTTTGTCACCACGACAGTGTTGTTAATTTTAAGCTAGGTGTTTAGAATTAAATTTCTTCTAGAAAGTTGTAGTGTTATGTTGGAATAAGCAGTATTTTTTCCGTTTTTAGCAGTTTTTCAGTAGGTAACCATGACAATCACATGTCAGATATCAGAGGAAATTTTTGATTTACACAAATTTCATCTCTCTACTATTAATGCAAATGTTATGTAGTTTATAAATATTTATACATGTAATGATGTATTTTTCATAACCAATCTGCTATACCTGTATATCTCAAACATGACCAATACTTTCAGGAAAAATGCAAATTAACTGTTTCCTGACACCTAAGTGTCCCGTTGACATGTGTTCACAAACCGTTGTGTGTTGTCAATAGTTTGGGTATTCTCAAAGGAAGGTTGTAAAACAAACACACGATCAATTGTAGCATATTCTACATCGAACGCGCCTAAACACATATGTTGCCACAGTCGTGCCAGTATGGTAAGTGGTGTTTGGATGTATTTTTCAAATTTGTATGTATGTGTAGATGACACGTTTTAAATTAATCTATCATTATTCAAAGTTACACTTTTCATATATCCTGCTATCAGCTCGGATTTAGATATGCAATGTATATACCACACACTACATTTCGATATTAATGTCTCCCTGTTGAGCGTGGACCACTGCAAGGGAGGTAACTTGTAAATGAAGGTAACCTCAAAAAAGCGTGATTGGAACAAGAAATTAAGGAAAGATAAATGAAGTCTGGTGACCAAAGATGTTGAAATTTAACTTTTGTTTTGGTGACAACTTTTGGGAAGTTTACATCTTAAAAAGTAATTTAAAGCAAACGATCAATATGTTGCTGCACCAAGTCTAAAAATAAAATCGCGTATAGATAGTTCGAATTTATGTGCAACAGAAAATATCGATTTTAACATATTGTTTTGCCTTAACGTGCAGTGTACAGACTAGTTTCAGTGAATTATGCAATAGAATGGTTGTTGGATAATGAGAAAAAAAAAATAAAGCGAAAATGTAATGTTTTCATTTTATCTAAGGTGCTTAAAATTCCATAGAAAAAAAAACTTTGTTCGACCATGTTCTAAATTGAACATCTTTAAAACTTACTTCAATGGAGAGAAAATTCATGACTTTCTTTATGAATTAAAGATAGAGAGGTAAGCGGTGCTTTATATACTTTTTTCAAATTGTATTAAAATATCTATTTTGCAAGACCAAGTCACAAGCAGAAATATGAATTCTTGAGTCCTAAAATTAATGAAAGTCATCCACCATGTCTGGATACAAATTCATGTATATTATGTAATTCATGAATGGGATTTGTGGTGACAATTCATTAAAAAATTTAATGGAATCTCATGAAGACTTTCAGATGAATACTTATAAGAAGTACATTAGCAACGGAAAATATTCTGGAAGATGTTGACCCTTTTAACGAAATCAAGCAGTCAGCTTAGCCACTACAAAATACAATACACAAGCAAAAAATCTACAAGACACCGTATTAAGTGCTCCACGGAAGCTTACGAGTACAACTATAGGTAACAAAAATTAGAATATTAGATATTTGCTCTGGTACTTTGAGAAAATCTTGAACTTAATAAAATATTCCAGTGTCCCGAAAACTGTACTCAATTAACACTTCCTGTGTTCAGGAGATCCCATGTTCCATGGTACGTGTGTAATGTATATTGCCAAAGCTGACAAACACATATGCCGGACGGTGCAGTAGACGGTATAGTGGGTCCATAACAAACGTTTTCTACAGAATTTCTGCGTAAAGAAAATAAATGTTAAGCATGCATGCCGTAGTTATTGTTATTTTATTGTCATGTTTGTTCCCTGAATTTGACTTAAAACCATACCAGGCGCACTCTAAGTGACAACGCTCCAATTCTGTCGGTTGTTTACACAGGCATGACTGACAACGTGTAGGCTACACCAATGTATGTGTGTATGTACCTAAAGCTGTATAGTATATTTCGGATAGAAACATGCATAATGATTCAAGTGTAAAATAAAAAAAAAATTCTTATTAATTTTGATTATCAAAATTTCTTACGTACGTATTAGATCAATGTTTTCTGTCTTTGTGCGACAGCAAATTTGTTTGATACCATAAGATCAGTCGGCCCCGTTTGTGACCTTTTACAACATGGCGCTGTCCAAGGTAACGGATGTGCTAGCAGACCTCCCTGTGGCTGTGAAGGTTGCAGGCGGGGTCGTTCTCACAGGGGCAGTTCTGACAGGTGTGTGGAAAGGATTTCGGTCTCGCCGAACTATCAGGTATGCTTTGCTATGTAATCGTATGATACTTTTCTTAAATACACGTATTCTCAATATGCTGCAAAATGAAAACGAACGCTTTGTAGAACTAAAATTAGTAATAGATACTGGCAATTAATTATTTTTACATTAAATGAAATATTAACTATGAAAAACTGACAAGACAAACGGACTGTTAATAAAATATGCAATTAAACACGATAATATGAAACAAGTAAAGCTGACAATACTTATCTGATCTACCACTGCACTCTCCTCAAATATGTAGGTGGTAGTTGTTCATGAATTTATTTTCCATAGGAAGGAATATCCACGAGATACCATTGTTATTCATCAGATAGGGCGGGGTCCATACGTACCCAGTCTCACGCCTTTCGCCATAAAATTAGAGACGTATTTGCGATTGGAGGGCATTCCCTACGAGGTAGGTATTGTATATTTCCATCTCAATAACACTTAAAGGTCTTAAACTACAGTCGTCAACATTTCTTAGAGTCTTATATCTTGTCAACAGTTTTTTCCCCTTATAACTTCGTCGCTTTGAAACTTATGATAAATTATTCATTTATTGATACGACATGCGAGTGGTTCCTCTTTATTAGAACAAATGGTATTTAATGATTTCCCGTTGAATATTACAAATATTTCATGGATATTACAAAATATCAGTATGTTCCTGTCATACTCGGATTAAAAAAGAAACAGAGTTACCGGTATATTCGAAAGTGATACGTAATGTTATGAATTATGAGGAAAGGACACGCCAACACGGCCCACCAGTGCTAACACAAGGCGGGATGTTGAGTAACGCCTAAAGCCCACCAGTGTTAACACAAGGCGGGATGTTGAGAAAAGTAAAATGGATTGTACTTGGTTACTTATAAAGCGAACTAATGTGGAAAATATTAGACACCAAATAAGCATGTCTATCCATGTCCTGTGAATTTCAGTCCTGCGTAGATCATGTTACAAACCGAGGCGAAGACAACTGCCCATCACGATATAATGACTTGTCTGTACTTAAAAAAGCCTTACCTGTTACACGAATAACAGATGATCCAGAGGTAGCGAATTATACGTTTTCAGGTTGTACATAGCTGGTCTAGGAGAAGCACGAGAACAGGAAAAGTGCCCTTTTTGGAATACAATGGAGAAGAAATCCCAGATAGCGAGTTTATACTTGAGTTCCTTAGTAAAGAGAAGAATTTTGACATGCACAAAGGGCTCACTAAAGAACAGATAGGGGTCGGCAAAGCTTTCCAAAGGATGGCCGAGGAAAAAACCTACTGGTAGGGAATACACAGCTCTTCCTATAATCATTGTGAATATTTTCACTAATATCATTATAATAACATTGAAACTGAGACTCAATGAACACATGATAAAGTATAATCTGTAAACATATCTTTTAAAACGCACTGAACGTCATTTTGACGGTGTTGACGAAGATTTGTACGGCAAGATGTTTTTTTCACAAACACACGTCCTTGCGGTGAAAATGTTAACCCTTACAGCAAGTTCACGTTTTATGTTTAAGTTGCTATTAATGTCAAATCAGGAAGTGATGCTAGGAGTTTTCTGTTTTCTGTATAGCTGCAGGTTAAGTGAACATTGTGTTACGAGATTGAAGCTTATCTTATCCTCTATTCGTCAATTCAAGTTCAGAATCAAAATTTAGTCATTATGTATAATTTCATTGTCAGCATATATCAGAAGCATATTTTTCAATGCATTCAAATATTGATTAGACACGTGATCAATACATACAATGTACCAAGATACTAATCACACATACATTTAGATGTAATTAGGTGTTATGGTTATATAGAAAATGAGATTATGATTTTGAAGGTGCTTCGTGGCTGATCGATGGGTTCTTGACGAAACCAATGGAATTTGGAAGTCCTTCAATGTATCTCCATTTCTCGCGTAAGAAATATAATAATGTCTTCTGAGTGAATTGACTTTTGTAAATAATAAATTATGAATTTTGTATATAATAAGTTATGACTTTTGTAGATAATCAATCATGACTCTTGTTTGTAATAGATCATGACTCTTGTTTGTAATAAATCATGACTTTTGTATGACTTTTGTATGTATTAAATTATACATCCAAATCATATACATTAAAAGGTGAGTTTATGGCAGAAAAATCAATTCATTTGTGTCTTTTCAAATGTCAGTTTATTGACCAGAACTCCAGCTATGACAGTAAGTTAATGAACAGCAATATGTAAGCAAAATGAAAGAGATAACTCCTATTTTATGTTGATTCCAGCTGTCTCTCCTTACTGACGTATTTTCGATGACATTTAAACATAAACATAATTTATCGAGTAATAATGATATGGATCATGGTGATTTGTCAGTAACAGCGTGAAAATGTCATATTATAACCATAACATAAGATTTTGTGAAAATCATATACGTTTTGCTTGGCCTGAGTAATAGAATGAGAACAGTCTTGGAATACTAATGCTAATGAGAATAAACGAGACAAAGGGATTTTTTCCTTTTAGGAGATTAATGAAACGCGGGACTCGGAAGAGGTTATATAATAATGGTATATTACGGCACACACCAGAGGAAATACGTCACATCATGTCCGAAGATCTGAAAGCACTGTCGTACTACCTAGGTAAATATAACCACTGTACCGTGCTGTGGCATTGTTTACATATAATGGTGTTTTCGATAGTTTCCTTATAAATTTCGTTTACAGAATATAAATGTTATCCATATATGCGGTGTTCTATACTTTATTTTGCATTGCGCGTTTAAAAGATATTTTTATATGTATCAAAAATTGTCAGCTATAGATTTAATTCTACTTTACGTTGTTCTGAAATTATCAGGTATATGAAAATAACGAAAATTACGAAATATATTGAATTAAGGGGCTAGTGCACCTCTTAATCCTGATTTTAACTTTTCTTCTGATCACTTTGGATGTTCCTCAGTCGCATCCGAGACTTCATGATTTAGGTAATTACATTCACTTACGAGGCATAGTAGGACGAAACAGCTGTATGATATAGTTTATGTCATTGTATGGATCAACTGCATCTAACTCTGTATGTGCTTTCACTTATGTGTCTGGTACAATTTTTATGTTGCTACTTTAGGATCAAAGAAATTTCTGTTCGGCGATAAAGCCTGTAAATTTGACTGTGCCATCTTTGGCATTCTGGCAGAAATCAGATGGGCGTCGTTTGGTGGGTTTGGAACGTCTGTCATAAAAGGTGATATCAGAAACTGTGTGTTTTATATTTACAAGATACATTTATAACACAATTCCATTCCCGTATTCTTCATCAACTCTTATTTCTCTCTAGTGTCTTCTTCGCTTTCTTATCGAATATTATTAACAAAATATTTCATCCTTTTTTTTAAAATTCAGCCATAAGAAATTGTTTTTGTACAAAATAAAACTAAGCAAATGACACCGACTTCAAAGCCGATAAAATACGTTATATTTTACTAGAATTCCTAGTCACAGGAGTGTTTGCTTTTTAAAGAAAAATACTTCAACACACCATCTGTATATGACTTGATCTATGTGCTAAATCGTGTCTTTGCTGTATCATTTCAATTAGGAAAGATGATATGTGACTGTTACTGTCTTTCTACAGAATATCCCAACCTCTGTGACTACTGTGAGCGAATGAAGGACACTTTCTGGCCGGACTGGGATAATTATAAAGAGCGTGATGGTACCAAGTAATCAAAATGTCTTCATTTACCCCACATAATTGGACAATTGATTGGTGTTGTTGAGATTAGGCACCAAGTTGTTTTGTTTTAGAGATTGAGTTGTCAAGTCTAGTGCTAATATCTCTATGCTAATATGTTCAAAGATGTCATCTATGACAAAAAAGCTAATAGGCCACAAGCCTACAAACAAGAATTCACTCGTCAGGCACTACAAGTCTGAGGCCTAACAGGAGACAAGATCAAAGGGAGTGGTGATGATAATGCTGCTGATGATGATAATGATGATGAGCCCTTGTTTTGAATGAGGATATAATCTGGCAAGTGTAATTCCTTAATCAGATGATACTGGCTGGGAAATACGTTATCATTACTTAATTAGTTCATATTAAATTATTCAGTCCAATAACTGTGTTTTGTTTTAACGTGATTATCCCATAAACAAAATCAAAAAGCTTACTAATCTGTATTTCTTCAGATTGGAAACGAATTACCTTTCAGTTATTGAAGAACAGGATAATTATCAATACCATAAAAATAAATTTTGAAATAGATAGTGTGATGGTTTCATAAATAGACTTCCAAGTATCCTAGCTATGAGAAAAATTATTTCGTTTCATATGAAACTGATTTCATTTAACCATGCTACATGTTCAGTAAAATAACAAAGTTTTCATGCTGGTTTCATATATATCATTTGAACGCATGTAAAATCGTCTATGTTTAAGATGTTTCGAAAAGACGACCTTCGTAGGTACGTCAGGAGAGATCGTTTCCAACCGTGTGACAACTGTTTTCTACATAAATACACTGAAGCGCACTAATGATGCGTCACGTTCAGTTAGGATTTCACGGTGCCAGATTTTGGCGCCAAAGTCAGTGAAAACATATGATTATAAAACAAGCAAATTCATGGAATTTATATCCCCCGCTTTCCAAACATATTGTAAGTAAATATTTTAGAGGTTAGGAGTAAACATGTCATAGTGCTATGTTGAATAATATACAGATGATGCTGATTGCTGAACTCGTTCTTATGTGACCTAATATGCATCTGCTGACCAAGTTTCATCTAAATCGGATTATATTTAGGGAAGTTAAAGCACCTAAATGAACCGACCAATGAAACCAAAGGATACCTCATTAGTATGCGTAATTATTAATAGATGACATTGATAGTCAAACTCAGTCTTAATGACCCCAAGATGCATCTGCTGACCAAGTTTCATCCGAATTGGATGATATTTGGAGAAGTTAGAACACGGAAACGAAAGTGTGACAGACAGACGAACGGACAACCCAAATTGATATCCCCCGTTTCGATGAAAGTGGGGGATAACTAGCATTTAAACGGAAGAACAAATTAAAGATTTTTAGTGTTCATATGAAAGTTGCCCGAATGGCCCACTGAAACTCACCGATACAATAAATCACCACGACAGGCCCGGCTGATACAACTCACACGGCAAAATATAATCGTCTGGATCGGCCCGCTGATACTCGACGACACATTAAATCGTCGGAACAAACACACATGAATCGATCGGCCCACTGATACTTCGACACATTAAATCGTCTGGATCGGCCCACTGATACTAAACGACACATTAAATCGTCTGGATCGGCCCACTGATACCAAACGACACATTAAATCGTCTGGATCGGCCCACTGATACTTAACGACACATTAAATCGTCTGGATCGGCCCACTGATACTTAACGACACATTAAATCGTCTGGATCGGCCCACTGATACTTAACGACACATTAAATCGTCTGGATCGGCCCACTGATACTAAACGACACATTAAATCGTCTGGATCGGCCCACTGATACTTAACGACACATTAAATCGTCTGGATCGGCCCACTGATACTTAACGACACATTAAATCGTCTGGATCGGCCCACTGATACTTAACGACACATTAAATCGTCTGGATCGGCCCACTGATACTTAACGACACATTAAATCTTCTGGATCGGCCCACTGATACTTAACGACACATTAAATCGTCTGGATCGGCCCACTGATACTTAACGACACATTAAATCGTCTGGATCGGCCCACTGATACTTAACGACACATTAAATCGTCTGGATCGGCCCACTGATACTTAACGACACATTAAATCGTCTGGATCGGCCCACTGATACTTAACGACACATTAAATCGTCTGGATCGGCCCACTGATACTTAACGACACATTAAATCGTCTGGATCGGCCCACTGATACTTAACGACACATTAAATCGTCTGGATCGGCCCACTGATACTTAACGACACATTAAATCGTCTGGATCGGCCCACTGATACTTAACGACACATTAAATCGTCTGGATCGGCCCACTGATACTTAACGACACATTAAATCGTCTGGATCGGCCCACTGATACTTAACGACACATTAAATCGTCTGGATCGGCCCACTGATACTTAACGACACATTAAATCGTCTGGATCGGCCCACTGATACTTAACGACACATTAAATCGTCTGGATCGGCCCACTGATACTTAACGACACATTAAATCGTCTGGATCGGCCCACTGATACTTAACGACACATTAAATCGTCTGGATCGGCCCACTGATACTTAACGACACATTAAATCGTCTGGATCGGCCCACTGATACTTAACGACACATTAAATCGTCTGGATCGGCCCACTGATACTTAACGACACATTAAATCGTCTGGATCGGCCCACTGATACTTAACGACACATTAAATCGTCTGGATCGGCCCACTGATACTTAACGACACATTAAATCGTCTGGATCGGCCCACTGATACTTAACGACACATTAAACGACACATTAAATCGTCTGGATCGGCCCACTGATACTTAACGACACATTAAATCGTCTGGATCGGCCCACTGATACTTAACGACACATTAAATCGTCTGGATCGGCCCACTGATACTTAACGACACATTAAATAGTCTGGATCGGCCCACTGATACCAAACGACACATTAAATCGTCTGGATCGGCCCACTGATACTTAACGACACATTAAATCGTCTGGATCGGCCCACTGATACTTAACGACACATTAAATCGTCTGGATCGGCCCACTGATACTTAACGACACATTAAATCGTCTGGATCGGCCCACTGATACTTAACGACACATTAAATCGTCTGGATCGGCCCACTGATACTTAACGACACATTAAATCGTCTGGATCGGCCCACTGATACTTTACGACACAGTAAATCGTCTGGATCGGCCCTCTGATACCAAACTACACATTAAATCGTCTGGATCGGCCCACTGATACTTAACGACACATTAAATCGTCTGGATCGGCCCACTGATACTTAACGACACATTAAATCGTCTGGATCGGCCCACTGATACTTAACGACACATTAAATCGATACTTAACGACACATTAAATCGTCTGGATCGGCCCACTGATACTAAACGACACATTAAATCGTCTGGATCGGCCCACTGATACTTAACGACACATTAAATCGTCTGGATCGGCCCACTGATACTTAACGACACATTAAATCGTCTGGATCGGCCCACTGATACTTAACGACACATTAAATCGTCTGGATCGGCCCACTGATACTTAACGACACATTAAATCGTCTGGATCGGCCCACTGATACTTAACGACACATTAAATCGTCTGGATCGGCCCACTGATACTTAACGACACATTAAATCGTCTGGATCGGCCCACTGATACTTAACGACACATTAAATCGTCTGGATCGGCCCACTGATACTTAACGACACATTAAATCGTCTGGATCGGCCCACTGATACTTAACGACACATTAAATCGTCTGGATCGGCCCACTGATACTTAACGACACATTAAATCGTCTGGATCGGCCCACTGATACTTAACGACACATTAAATCGTCTGGATCGGCCCACTGATACTTAACGACACATTAAATCGTCTGGATCGGCCCACTGATACTTAACGACACATTAAATCGTCTGGATCGGCCCACTGATACTTAACGACACATTAAATCGTCTGGATCGGCCCACTGATACTTAACGACACATTAAATCGTCTGGATCGGCCCACTGATACTTAACGACACATTAAATCGTCTGGATCGGCCCACTGATACTTAACGACACATTAAATCGTCTGGATCGGCCCACTGATACTTAACGACACATTAAATCGTCTGGATCGGCCCACTGATACTTAACGACACATTAAATCGTCTGGATCGGCCCACTGATACTTAACGACACATTAAATCGTCTGGATCGGCCCACTGATACTTAACGACACATTAAATCGTCTGGATCGGCCCACTGATACTTAACGACACATTAAATCGTCTGGATCGGCCCACTGATACTTAACGACACATTAAATCGTCTGGATCGGCCCACTGATACTTAACGACACATTAAATCGTCTGGATCGGCCCACTGATACTTAACGACACATTAAATCGTCTGGATCGGCCCACTGATACTTAACGACACATTAAATCGTCTGGATCGGCCCACTGATACTTAACGACACATTAAATCGTCTGGATCGGCCCACTGATACTTAACGACACATTAAATCGTCTGGATCGGCCCACTGATACTTAACGACACATTAAATCGTCTGGATCGGCCCACTGATACTTAACGACACATTAAATCGTCTGGATCGGCCCACTGATACTTAACGACACATTAAATCGTCTGGATCGGCCCACTGATACTTAACGACACATTAAATCGTCTGGATCGGCCCACTGATACTTAACGACACATTAAATCGTCTGGATCGGCCCACTGATACTTAACGACACATTAAATCGTCTGGATCGGCCCACTGATACTTAACGACACATTAAATCGTCTGGATCGGCCCACTGATACTTAACGACACATTAAATCGTCTGGATCGGCCCACTGATACTTAACGACACATTAAATCGTCTGGATCGGCCCACTGATACTTAACGACACATTAAATCGTCTGGATCGGCCCACTGATACTTAACGACACATTAAATCGTCTGGATCGGCCCACTGATACTTAACGACACATTAAATCGTCTGGATCGGCCCACTGATACTTAACGACACATTAAATCGTCTGGATCGGCCCACTGATACTTAACGACACATTAAATCGTCTGGATCGGCCCACTGATACTTAACGACACATTAAATCGTCTGGATCGGCCCACTGATACTTAACGACACATTAAATCGTCTGGATCGGCCCACTGATACTTAACGACACATTAAATCGTCTGGATCGGCCCACTGATACTTAACGACACATTAAATCGTCTGGATCGGCCCACTGATACTTAACGACACATTAAATCGTCTGGATCGGCCCACTGATACTTAACGACACATTAAATCGTCTGGATCGGCCCACTGATACTTAACGACACATTAAATC